TAGTACAATGTAAAAATAAACAACTCCACAAGTCGCTGTATAAATGCATGTACTAAGCAGTTATTTTCCAACCAAATCATTGATTATGGTAGAAATTGGAGTTTAATTAAGTGATTTTTGTCAACCACTACAATATGAATGCACTATATATTGGATGCCTCACTTCTCAAATCTCTTGACACTCTGTCAACAAAGATTAAAAATTAAGTAAGATAAATTTTGTAATTGTTCTGTTGACAGCAGTCTTACGCACTAAATATTTTTTTATAATTTCAACTTTTTTCTAGTCCTGGCGTCAGAGAAATGCTGTTAACAACAGGAACAAGGTGTGGGATATTCGAATTGTCCCCTACATCGTGGAGGAGTCCTTCCGTAAGTTAATGAGACCATAACCGATAAAATTTTCTGCTCTCTGCGCTCTCCCTACTGCTCTGCATTCTTCTCTGTTTCCCTAAAGTTATACATCGAAAATTTGCCTGTAATTCTGAAAATTTTCAGCAATATGTGCCCATAATTCAATATTATATTGTTAAGAGTTTTGTCTTAAACCCTTTCAGCTGACTACGTGAAAATATCTATCCAGGCGGCCATGGACCAGTTCCATCAACTCACTTGTGTGCGGTTTAAACCACGAGCCAGTGAATCTGACTACATACACATTAGACAGCTTTCAGGGTATATATCAGAAAAAACATTTGCGTATACGCTGATGTGTATATTTCTTATGAAAATAGAGTACATCAGTAAGATTGGTATTTCATTATCTCTATTCATAAATATTTAATGCACTGTATTGACTTTGCTGAGGTCAATTATTTTTGCAGCCCTCACAAAAGTGATATCGACCGCTGCTGGGCAAAAGTCAATGGTTGTTTTATTATATGAGTTAACGCCTAGACGTCAATGCCCTCCAAGACATCGCTTTCATCCAACATTGTTGTTGATTTATTGTTTCCATTTTTCTGGTTAGACTGAGTGTCATCAGACCTCAAATTCATTGATATATGATCATAATCTACGCTAATTTTATAATAATATTATATTTTTATTCTTGTGTAAAGATGACGCAAAAGTAAATCTTTTAAAAGAGGCTTATTTGTATTTGTGAGTCATAGCGTTTGATGAAGGGTCGAAACTCCGTGTTTCACATTTTTACCAAGAAGCTATGTTGAACATGCTGATAAATTAAATACACGAGGGACTTTTGGTAATAGGATAAATTTTCACTATACTTACTTCATGTTTCTTCTATTTACATCTACTAGGTGTTTCAGTGAGGTTGGCAAAAGAGGGGGTACCCAGAATGTCTCCCTCACAGAGGGGTGTTTTCAGCCAGGCACGATCATGCACGAGCTGATGCACGCGCTGGGGTTCTGGCACGAGCAGAGTCGCTCAGACAGGGATGATTACATTTCAGTATTATGGGATAATATACAAATAGGTAGGACTAAAAAAACCTCGTTAAGCGCATATTTTTTGCCGCAATATGCTGTTTCTACTACAAATTATTCCATTATCATCGATTTGCAGTTTTACAACTGAGGGATAATACACAATGAAGTAATAAATACTTATCAGTGGTCTTATGTTAATAATAATTATCATTATCATTCAATTTCTACTTATCGTCATTTCATTAACTTTTATTATCTCCGTGAACAAGAGCTACACTGTTTCTGATCTTAAGTCTCAATGTTGATGAAGCAACGTATTTAAATATTTTATATCAAATACCACGCCGCCTGCAGTTTTTTCTACCAATACTTTTTGCATCCCAGACAAAAAAGAGAATATTACTGATGTGGTGTGTAATCTTTTCTTAACCGTTTCTCACTATGGTGACTTACATTTCAGAGCACAAACAGAACTTCGAAAAAGTCAACCCCGAACAGGTTAATACTTTGGGTGCGCCCTATGATTTCGGCTCCATTCTGCACTATAAAATCAACACATTTGCTATAGACCCTTCAATGCCAACGCTGTTCCCCAAAGTGAACGTGACGGAGGCCGTTAGGTCCATGGGACAGAGGGAAAAACTCAGCCAAGTAGACATCTACAAAATTAACTCCCTGTATAACTGCAGTAAGTGATGAAACAAACAAATATATATAAATAAATGATGATTTATGTAGTATCGATGATACTACTACTTCTACTACTACTGATAACACAATGGTTATGGTAACTTAAAAACTTGATGATATTGATGATAAAACGGGATAAATGAAGCTGACTTAAAATTAACTATGATCGGTGACATACATTATATATAAACCAGACAATGAGAACAACCAAAATTTTCATGCCATCTTCCAGGTATTCGGAGCTGCGGTGATCCCGGTATTCCAGTTAACGGCGGCTGGGACGGGGACGACTTCACCGTCGGTTCTAACGTCACATATTCCTGCTCCCCTGGTTACCTCCTCGTGGGCAGCCGCGTGCGCTGGTGCACATACACCGGAATCTGGTCAGGCAAAGTGCCGGAATGTATACGTAAGTATTAGTAAAGATACAATGGGAGTCATCTCAGAGGGCTTTCGTATAAATTCTAGCGAAATTTCGCGGGATGTGGAGGGAAATGGGATCAGAAATTATGGCAATGGCTTTCGAATGCAGTTTGGATTCGAATGAAACTGACAGTACCCTTTTACTTTTATTGCTGTTTTCTCTTAAATTCTGTCGACTTAAAGTCCATTGCACAACAACAACGCAAATTCACCACTCTTTGCGTGACACTTCTGTATAGCTGATTGCTAAGACGACATTCCAAGCACAAGGAGTTGTACCCTTTTTATTACTGAAAAGTTAACCCTACCTCTGGCGGACTGTTTCACGTCTTCTTTTCTCATATCAAGGGTCACGCAAAGTCAGTGGCCTCGTTTTTTAGCAATCTCAGATGATATTTTCCATTACCACTATAATTAACCAAAGCCCTATTGAATAATTTCAGTACAGGTTCCCCTGCGCCTGTACTGGCGCCTGAAGTATCCTGCCGTTTTGTCGTTTCTGATCCGTTATGTAATTGTTTTGGAAGCTTCCAGACGAGGTCGTTTATAACTTTACAAACTAATTTAAGTGTAAATTAAAATAAAGGTTAAAGCGTTGCAGAAAAATGAGAACAGAAAGTAAAAACGTCGCTTTCATATCATAGCGTGAGAAATTCAATAAAGTGGCTGCTCAGTCTTCATACTGAGACTAAATTTTGCCTGACAATATCAGTTCAATTTTGTAATAAGGTGTTACATTTCAGTCGCTCTCAATACCATCTCGTACTGTAATTTTGAGACTCCGGACCTCTGCGGCTGGCAGCAAAACACAGCAGACGACCAACAAAACTTTACATATCAACAGGGGGCGACACCGAGCGCCAACACAGGCCCGGACTTTGACCATACTCTGCAGACATCAGAAGGTAAATGTGGGGTCCTATTAAAACCATACTGAAAATGTCAACATACTCGTAACTTTATTTCATCCAAGTTTATACGGTAGTAATCGAATCAAGTGGAATATCATTAAGCGAAAGAGATTTTAGACCAGTATTTCATTTATGTCAGAGGACTACTACAGATTTATCCTCAGTTGAAGTAAAGATACCATTTTCATCCGAAAATACTTTTGTATATTGAAACCTGCCCTTGTATCTAATTTTAACTACACACAAACGCACACACACACACACACATGAAGTCCTACCACTTTCAAGTCAAAATAAAATGACAAATCTAAGTTAATTATAGCTTTACACATGGTTGTAATACGGTACTTGTATGCTCCATACATTTTTTCACGGAAACTTAAAGTACTACCGGTATATGTTTAGGTCACTACCTGTACTTGGAGGCATCCGAGCCGTCCGCACGTGGTCATCGAGCCAGACTGACCTCGCCACTGGTTCACAAGCCGCTGGGCGCCCAGGACATTTGTCTTAGGTAATAAGATTTAGGGTGGCGCAAATCAATTTGGTGAGTTTTGCAATTCATATGGATCATATCTTAGGGGTTGACTTACATTTGCTGATGACTGATGTCATGTGCGTACATACATAAATATACGTAGACCAAAGTCATACATGTATAAAGAGCCCATTTAATCAAACAATCGAAATTAAATAAGTAAACACAAATGTGCAACTTGGCAACTATTTTAAGATTCGAAAAAATTGAAAAAAGTACAATTTAAATCATCCTAGACACATGGATATTGGAGGGCATATAATTCTGATCCTTGCTGTTGCAGTGTTACATGTATAACAATTAATAATATCATCTTTACACACTTTGGGACGCTTTATTGACATCGCTCGTGTTTTACAAGGTTTGCGTATTCCATGTACGGAAGCGAGGCTGGGGAAGTGATCACGTACATGATAGAGGGCGCCAGCAACGAAACACTACAGACCATAACTGGAGACCAGGGTCCAGGCTGGAAAACGACTATTATACGCTTAAAACCACGGGAAACGTTCAAGGTATTTTTTAAGAGGGCGGACGGTGCAATTTGGTACGGTTTAAAACTATGATTCAGCTATTCAAAAATTTAATTTCAGAAATCGAAGGGAGGGGGGTCAGTTTGATATGTTTTGCCATACAGACTCAACTGTTTCTCTTGTTTGCAGATTGTCCTCGAAGCTGTTCGGGGTATGAGCTTTAAAAGTGATATCGCCATAGACGATGTGTTATTGACCAGCTGTATCAATATCGAAAGCGAAACCGATGTTCTAAAGCAGCTGTTCTTCCCGAAAACATTGACTGGAAACAAAGGCAAATATAACGCTGGTAGGTTATACCAATAATCGCCCTATGCTCATACTGTACTCCTGCATGTAACTGAAATATTTTCATACAATAATTCGAGCAGTCGTTGTTTTTGTGGCTCACCAATCAAATCACATGTATTATAATTCAGCTTCTTCTCAACTGACATTTGCTGAAAAAAATAGATTTAAAAATTAAAAAAAAGGAAAAAACCCAAATTCTCATGACTTATGTGGACAGAACTGTCTGTCTAAACCCAAATCCTAGATTCCACATCTTTATAATTTTCCTACCTACCTACTAAGGTATAATACTACAAACGATCCACACTTGTGACTTCAATAAGGACATGTGTGGCTGGACCCAAGCAGCAGACGACACATTTGACTGGACGCTGATCCGGGGAACTACGGGGTCTTCAGCAACAGGTCCACAGTGTGACAGGAGAGATTGCAAGAAAGGTAAGACGCAGAATATATATTAATCCATGTTTTAATTATATTGCTGTACTAAAATTTAGTCATCTTCAGGTGAATTCGACAGGTTGCTGAAGCACCTAAGGCATATTGTAAAGAATTGAACAAGACGTATCCCACTGTAGATTGTTTTTTCATCCAAATGTACCTATGAAAAAATTAAACCTTTAGCTCGTTGAGTGCCAAATCGTATAGATCTCGGGCATAAGCTTTTTTTGTATCTAAATTAAGAATATGTGAAATATTTAATTCTACTGGAACACCAATGATCAAAATAGATAATAAGTTCTTGTGTTAGAATTAATTAAGACCAACTTCTGGTCACAAATTTTTGCCAAAACTGACACCTGTTTCATATAATATTCATAGGCCAATACATCTATATCGAAACCTCCAGTCCTCGTGTCCGTGGAGACACTGCTCAGGTTGCCTCGCCGTACTTTGAAGTGAGTTTTTTTGTGTTTTCCAATAATACCACCTTACCTAATCTGGAACCTTAATTACAGCTTGGATAATTATAATGGCGTGATTGTCAGGGGAATCGTTCAATTATAACCTCAGCGCAATTCATTAAAGGTGTTCGTCACATATCCTGCGTTTGTCATCCTTGGGATTTTATGCACGTTTATGCTTTCGTCTTTGATTTGTATATCTCAAACCTCTATAAGCCTCTAACATCTTAGAATACTAACTTATTGTTCTGTTAATAAACATGTTTCAAATGGCCATATTAACGGAGAAAAGGAATAAAACACGACTTTCAGAAAGTAAAACTTTTGCAGGGAACCAGCAAAAAGTGTTTCAGCTTTTACTACAACATGTATGGAGATGGCATGGGCTCCTTGAACCTGATTTTACAAGAATTCGGCAGGAAACCGAGAATCGCCTGGTCAAAGAAAGGTGACCAAGGTCAAGGTTGGAAGAAGGCTAACTTACAACTCACGCCCGCTAAAGTGTTTCAGGTAAATCACGTTTAGAGTTATTATAAAAGAGTCCACTGAAAATTAATTTCAAAATATAAACCGCATATGATACATTTGACTGAATGGATTGGCATATTTTATACCTCACAATCATTTGAAATAAATGCCTTATTAGTTTGCGGAGATATATTCTATGTTAAATAACTGATTACTTAATTGTCTACATGTGTCACGTATAGTCGCACATGTAGGTGCTATCTACTGTGTGACGTCGTGTTATTCCTATTTTTATACATTCTGTTCAAAGAGAATGCTTCACAAAACCTTTGAGTATTTCTGGTATTTCTGGTATTTCTGGCAACAACTTATAAAGTTAATCAGGAAACCTAAAATAAAATTCAATCTTGTTCTGTGGAAATACCTGACATGACATTTGAAGTAATTGTACTATCTTATTTTATTTTATCGAATACCCCTTCCGTACGTGCATAATGGAGGGGGGGCTGATTTTGTTTTCTCTTGTTAGTTGATGAATTTTGTAAATAATGACTAATAAAGAAATGATATATCTACAACTTCATGTACTATTATCCTTTGATAGTTGGTGTTTGAAGGAGTCCGCGGCGATAGTTACCGAGGAGATATTGCAGTTGATGACGTCACCCTCTCCGACGGAGACTGTTCAGACTCCACGAATCAAGGTAATGCATATGCACTTTCCAGACTGTCTAAAAACCATTGGTCCTTTTTTCAGAAGGTTGAAAACAAATTTGCCCTCTTACAAAACCATTACCACAGCGTTGGTATCTGTGTTGGTTTTGTAGGGAAAATGATCTTCTTTTGAACTCTTCTATCAGCACATACGATAAAAGTTGCTTGTTATACGGTAGAATAACACTAAGAGTATAGCAGACACTTTTTTACGAACATAGCAAAGGCCACTCAGACCAAGGTGGACTGCGATTTCGAGACTGACTTCTGCAGTTGGATTCAGGCTTCCCAGAATACTGTGGACTGGAGCAGGACGCGCGGCGCGTTGACAGGAATTAAATATGGCGGTCCAATGGTTGACAAGACTACGGGGAAAGGTAGGAGAATTATGGAATGATCAGCGTTGTTTAGTGTCATTTTAAGTCGCAGGAATGGTATAATTGAAGACTAAACCGTTGCTTGCATATATGTTTTTCCATGTAAAGTTCTTAATGATAAGTGACAAGACAGTTAGACAGCAATCATAGCGAGTCTCATCTGCTTATATTTTTTTACTTACGTTTAAATAACAACATTCTTTCTGAGTAAGGAATGTCGTCACTTATATTGTTTTTAATAAGTCAATGTTGATTGCATATGAAGTATTGTTTTATTTCATATTTAAAGTTCTTATCGGTTATTTTATAATAGACGTAGCGATATTCGTCACCAAATTCATGTCTTTTCACAGGCTATTATGCTTACGTTAACACATATGGGATGAAACCGAGCACCTTGGCAAGAATATCCTCTCCACTGCTGCCTGTGAACCAGACCGATTTCTGCTTTCATTTCTGGTACTATACGGACGGCGCAAATGTTGGTACCCTGAGTGTGCAGGTGAATACTAATACCAGTCCGGACACCACGCTGTGGAAGACCAAGGGAACATCATCGACCAACTGGCGGGAGGCAGGGGTTCAGTTGACGAGCAAGGAACCCTTTAGGGTAAGCCAAATTGTCGCTATGCTGGCACTGATCATGGGCAATGAACGGTGGTCTCTCAATATAGCATCTGCTGTTGATAATGTAACGCATGTAGTTAAACAAATTGATTAATAGAATGGAATGAAGACGAAAAAGGAAATGAAAAAAGAAATGTGGAAGATCAATAGATTGCGCATTGTCGCTACAAGAGGGAAATAGTAAAGTACAGCGTTTCTCTTAAGAGCGTTTCAGAAACAGTTTTACTATTCAAAGGTCTTATTATAAAAGTCGAATCAATTACATTACATATGCGATGCACTGCGGCGGGACGTGCGTCCGACCCCGTCCAGGAACATGCATGTACCAATCCTTAAAAAATGGTATCTGCGGTCTCCCCGCTTGGTACTTACCACTTATGGGTTGAAGCGGGGGTAAAATGCCTGGTCTGGCAGTGAAATATAATGCTTGTATGTTAGCCCATATCCTCCCCTGGGAGGTGAGAATGAAAGGTTACAGTCTGAATCAAGACCAAAAAATATGGCGGCATATTGTCACTGTAAACCGCACTCGAGTGCGATATTTAAGTACCAGACTTCACTTTTTACTTTGACATATCAATACTCTGATATGGGTACTGTCGATATAATGAAACTGTTTATAATCACTGACGTGAAAAGAGCCGATACTGTTAATGATTGCCCGTGTAACATACACCCACTGGTGCAGTATATCGATTGTTTTCTTGACAAGAAGGTAGCTGAATAGATAAACTGTAATCGAATTGAAGACCGTCAGTTCTAGCAGACAGATAACGTATTGTGTTATTCTGTTAGTAGCTTATGTAGGCCTTCTTCTTCTTTCTGTGTTTTAAAAGAAGTAAGGATACGTTTTAAGACGATTTTCTACACATTTCCATATTTCATTATTTCTGATGCATTTGATAAATTTGTTTCTTCTTTTTCTGAACTATACAACCTGTGTGGGCGTAGATAATTAACATCATTTGAAGAAAATTATTTCAATGATGAAAAAGGGCTCATTATTCTTTTTTAACATTTATCTCTTTCATATATTACAGATAAGTTTGTCAGTGGAAATCGGCAAGGCAGGAAAGGGCGTGGTTGCTGTGGATGACGTCACTCTAGTGCAGGGTCAATGTGCGATAATGATTGGATAGTTAAGGTTTTTCTATATATATATATATATATATATATATATATTAAATACGGTAGCTTTATATGCTTTTTTTACGGCTCAACCTGGGATATGTGATTAATATAATTTAGACCTTGCACCGAGGCACAGTGCTTAACAACACTGAGGAGAAAATGAGTTTATATGACAGACGTCCTGTAACATTACTTACTAACTCAATCTGGAGCCTTAGATACCTCTTAAGTAATTTGATAAGGGGGAATGTAAATCCCTGGAAGTAGTTTATTCCAATGTTACCATATGGAAAATAGCGGCCATCTTGGAATTTCTCCAAAAGCACATGGAAACTCGCTTTTTACCCAGCAGATATATATAATGGGAATAATAAGAATGTGGAAAACCTTGAAAAAATTACTTCATTTCATTTGATATTGGACATTGCGACTTTCTGTTAATAGTAAAAGCCTACATGTATGTTTTAATGCAAGTAGCGGGGCCATGATGAATTTTTCTCAAAATACCCAGGTTACGCACTGTTGGGCTCTTGTTACCCACCATTACCCACGTAACGAAAGGTGAAGCTTAGTGTTATTACGGTGTTTTTGAATAAGAAGATTACTTTTCTGGATTAAAATACATGTGGGTGGGTGCTAACAACTTTCTTGACACCCAAAACTTCCTTCATTCATGTGTAAGCCTTTGAGCCTGCTATGTTTGCATTTTTGAAAATTGTCCAACTTTTTCAGATGAAAATTTGAAATAATAATAACCTTAATCCAAGCAATTTTAGTTGTTTATTAAATAAAATGTGATTTTTCTGGTAGCACTTTTACTTTGAGATTAAGACATAAATAGATAATAAAGCTGCTCTTATAATAATTCTACGGCGCATGGTTAAAGGAGGGCTATAAGAAGAATCCCCAACAGTGTTATTATATTCTTTTTTTTTCCTTTTAAAACATGACAGACTGAAATGCTATCATCACAATAGTTTTATTCAAGCATGTAATGAGACAAATTGCTCCTCTGATGCCTTATTTTGCAATAAAAATGACTGAAAAGGAGAATATGAATAATTTTGTGCTACACTAATATGATATTGTCTTGCAGATAATTGGAAAAAAATAAAAGCGTGCTCAAAGATTCATCACAATGAGTTTCGAAATTGTCAAGGAGTAAAGTGATCCGTGCGCACAATTGAATAATTTAGACAGTGCTCACATCATCGGGCTCACAATAATCCAAACGATATAAAGACTGCATAAATACAAAGTAATACAAGAGGGCCATGACGTATTGTTATTTGTAGCAGCATCAAATAAACTTTATCACCAACAGAATTATATACATTTGTCACATTAGCAGGATTATCTGCAACGACCGTAATATACCTCCGTTTTCTTTCAAGTACCCATACTACCAACCAAGTTTTGAAATATAAACATTTTGATGACGGATAAGAAGGGAAGGCTTAAAGAATAAAATGACATGTGCATATAAACGCACATGTTTTGAAACTTGTGCTCACAGTAAAAACGCTTCTAGATCTGATTTGGATCTTTTTAAATTTTCGCGCGAGAATCTAACATAAATGATTTATGTTGCATTCCCTGCTTTTGACTTTCGCCGCATCGGTAAGCCCCACGTCTGTCTCATCATGAAGTCGAAATAACATGTATCCTCGATGGTTGATGAAACCCCTGCGTAAAAATTCAGGAACTCTTCTCTGGTTACTATACCGTCTGGCTCATCCGGGGAATCAAACGCATCCAGGAAGTGACGTAACACCTGGTCTTCTGTCCATACTCCCTTAATGTAGTTTTCGTGTTTGCGAGCGTACTGGGAATATACACCTGAAGTAATCAAGAAAACGGATTATTTCATGTGGGAAATTAAGTTATCGCACATAAGAATACCATTTCCTTCCTGTGGATTATTTGTGGCACGGTAGCGGAAATTTCACGTTAGTTTAAGATATCAATTCTGTGATGAGAAAATTTACAGAGAGTCTTGTCTTTATTAAAGCAATAATAAAGATACAGCAAAGGAAGACACCCGTCTCCTATTTAATGTGCCTCTGAAATTTTAATTTTCTGGTTTGTCACTTTACGTACTCTAAACGTGTTATTTTACGTGTGGTTTTAAAAGGTTGCCGTCCATGCGTCAAGTGTGTTAACTTGTCTCATATAATCTGACTTCCTAGTAACATGTACAACAAAATGTACATTTCGGTCTTATGTAATAATCCTAAAACATCATGCCGGTGAGTCGAGTACAACAAATAACAGATTTATTCTAAAGACTAAAGCCATAAATGTCATCTTCCATAATAATGTCTGTATTTGTCTTTTAAAACTGAAGCAAGCTACAGGATCAAGTTAACGCTTGTATAAAATGTACCTTCGGAACTGACCACTCACCGCTGGCGTATTCAGTATTCAAGAGAAATATTTTGTTCATAATTTCACATACATATGGTAGTCAGTATACCAGCATGTACACACACTGGTACATATACATGCACACTGTACTAGTACTGTATACTGCAATGTATATGTAGGAAAAATAAGGCTTTGCCTACATAGTGAACAGCATATATATATATATATATATATATATATATATATATATATATATATATATATATATATATATATAGGCCGGTTATATCCAGATCCAGC